TCCTGTGTCAACTGCCGTGCCAGCTCCACCTGTGGAAACTGATGCTCCCGCTGATGATGAAGAAGATCCTAATGACCCTGGCTATGCCCCTAGCTTTGGTGGTAGTGACCTTCCTAGTCCTTCAGAATTAGATGAAATTCTAGATCCCGAGCCTGTTGAGGACGCTGCTGGGCCCCCTAGCGCGTCGGAGCCTAAACACCCAATGGGTGATAAGCTTTTGGTAGAGCTAGCTGATGGTGAGCCGCCTAAGGATGAAGTTCTAAAGCAGCAAGCCACTAGCCCTGAACATTTGCGCACCCATTTTCCCAAAAATCCCTACTGTCCTTTGTGCCATATAGCAAAAGATACCGCCATGAGGGTTTCACATGTCAAAGATGGCAAAGCCGATGATTTTGTTGATCCCCCAAAGCAGCCGCTGGAACAGCTTGCTACTGATGATGTTATCTTAGCTAAAGGGTCCGAACACTTGGGTGTAGGTATAGGGGGAATAAGGTCGCATCATGTCATCCGCGATGCGTACTCCGGTGCGCGTGTTGCATACCCATTGTCTAAACGTACTGCTGACGCGCATGCTCGCAACTTTAGGCATTTCTTAGGATTGCGTGAATCAGAGCTCACCACCCGAACGTTCATCAAAATGGACGAAGCAGGCGAGCTTGAGCAGGCGGCACATGCCGTAGGCATGGTTCCGGAAACCTCGTTGCCGAACAGATGGCCCCACAATGCCATCCTCGAGAGAGATGTTCGAGAGGAAAAAGAATGCTGCCGCACTGTTCACCTCCAATCTGGCCTTCCCTATGAGTATCACACATATAGCTATCCATATGCTTGCCTTTCAATGTCATTCGACAAGCCTTCAATAGCCGACCCCGACAAAACCCAATGGGAGTCGCTTACTAGGAATAAGTTTGATGGCATGAGGTTATGCTTTGGTCAGTTAGTGTATTACCGTAGGAAGTCACCCACCAAAAGGACTTTGGAGCCCAACATGTCACCTGGTCTGTTTTTGGGTTGGAGGATTGATCCCGGTTTCCGATATAGAAATATCTTAAGGGTGTTAGATTACCAAGAGTATCGCACTAGAGGTGGGAATTCAGCCGTTGATGTGCCAGAAGCAGAAATCTTTGTTCCTGAAGGTGATCCTGTTTTTCCAGTAGGTTTTTCACGCCACCAAGCTCTCATCAGGGGGGATAACCCAGATGATCTTAAGTTGCCTGAATATGCCTTAAAGGATGTGCCCTTCCCCAAGGAGGGCGGAATAGCCTCACCCTCTACACCTGGTCTCAAAAGTCGTTCTGTTTATATAACCGTAGACCGTATCCTTAAGTGGAAAGAGACCCCTGGTTGCAAAGGCTGCGCTGGCCATTCGCGCGTGCACACTGATGAGTGCAGAGCCCGCTTCGCAATGTTGGTTGAAAAGGAAAAAGAAGCCGAAAAAGAAAAGAAAGCTCCACCTCCCGCAAGTGAGACAGAAGCAGAAGACGAGGATGATGAAGCACATGGCATCATCTTCCGCGGTGATGATCTGCTTGATCCCGATCCGATACCATCTCACCTCTCCGCAGAGGACAGAGCACTGGTTGAGGAAATCTTCATACGAGGTGAGGTACCAGGTTCATCCGAACCCAGTGCTCCAGCCGAGCCTGCTGTTTCTGTTTCTGGTGTAGCTATTCTCCCCCAAGTTGCCAATCGATGTTCCGACCTATGTCAAAAGTCGCTGCCTGTTTTTGGTTGCCCCGCCGTAGGTAAGCCAACTAACCGCGATAATCGTAGGAGCCGGAAAGCTGCCAAGAAAGCTTCCAGACCCAATGCCAAGTCAACCATGTTTGAGTTTGCTTGTTCTGAGGAATCCCAGATGGGTTTTACTCACCAAGAATATGGCATTAACCATGTTAGACTTTGTAAGGATAGGATAGACCTGGGAGATGAGTCACAATGTGAGCAACTAGACTACCAAGTAGATGAAGCCGCTAAGGTTGCACCTCCACATATGTGGGCCTCTATCCCTTGCACATCCGGATCCCCTTGGCAGTACATCAATAGGAAGAGGGGTGGTGCCGCATTCATTAGGAAGCTAGCCCACCAGGTCAAAGAGTCCAAACGGTTGTTTAAGAGTTTTTCCAAACGCGCTGAAAGGGTTCTCAATCATGGTGGTACTGTAACGTTTGAATGACCAAGACCTTGCTCTGGCTGGAAAAGGCCTGACGTTGTAGCATTCTTTGAGAAGCATCCCCAGTTTATGACCGTTGATTTTGAAGGGTGTGCCGTAGGTTTAACCGACAGAAATGGTTATCCCATCAAAAAGCCATGGAAACTCAAGACCACTTCTCCCCGAATTGTAGAGGCGTTTCAAGATATGCGGTGTCGATGTCAGCAACCTCATTCCAGATGTGAGGGAGCTGAGACCACTCGCTCCGCAATGTATCCGCCTCAAATGACTAATCTAATTGCGCAAGCTTTGTATCCCGCAAAATGTGCCCAGCAGTCCGTTCCTGCTATGCCTTGCCGACCGGCAACTAGCGAGCCTCAACCCCATAGGGAAATTGAGCAGCACCTTAAGCATGTATCCCCATTAGCTGGTTTTGAAGATTTGGCCCTAGCTGTTGAATCAGACCCCACTGCTAATAGGTTGGTTACGGAACTTCTTGACCATGAACAATTGATCGCCCAAGCCTTCCACCTGGAAGACCCTAAGGCGCCAACGCCTGAGATCAAGGCAATGGTCACTAAGCTCTTATCCCGTGCAGAGATGCTGTCCAATCCCAAGGCCCTCGAGGCAATCCGCGCCGAAGCCGATGGTTTGGTTAAGGCTGGTACTTGGGACCTTAGCTCGGTCCGCGAGAAGGAAGATGTACGCAAAGAAGCTAAGGCTTCGGGTGTATCAGTACACTTTGGTCAACTCATGACCATCGCGTTCATTAAATTCTACGAGCTTGCAGACCACCTTCACAAAATGAAGGGGCGCATTGTGTACAGAGGAGACTGCGCAAAGGACGAACATGGTGCAGCCGCGGTTTACCAAGAACTCGGCGCGAATCCCACCTCCGTCCAAGGGCTAAACGCCTGCCTGGCGTACGGGTCGCTGCCGGGTAACCGCGCGACGGCTGCAGATGCAGTCAAAGCTTACGTCCAAGCACTGTTATCTTCCAAATACAAAACCTGGATTGAGCTTCCCCCGGAGCTCCGCCCTAAGTATTGGAAGCAACAGTTTGTTAAGCCCGTAGTCCTCTTAATTAAAGCCTTATACGGTCATCCTGATGCCGGAGGCCTGTGGGAACAACACTTGAAAGTCATCATCAAGAACCTTGGTGGACAGGAAGTTCCAGAATACCCAGGAAACTTTTACTTCCCAGATACAAAGTTACTTCTGTCAACTTATGTAGACGATTTAACTCTAGCTGGCCCCGCCGACCAGCATGATGCATTCTGGAGTAAGTTAACTTCTGTGGTAGACATTGAACCCCCAGAACCCATCTATAGGATTCTTGGACGCAACCATGTTGTTACCCCACTATCCAAGACCGAAGGTCATGAAAAATGTGCAGCCTTCCAAGCCCAAAATGGCATGGTTTTTGATATGGCGGACTACGCTCAGCAGACCGTAGATTTGTATAAATCAATAACTGGTGTCACCAAACTCAAGCATGCCGCCACGCCATTTCCACCTGAGGGATCCATCACCATTGAAGATGATGAAACTAAAGGGGAACTAGCTCCAAACGCATGTAAGATTTTGATGAAAGCCCTTTGGTTAGGTAGACTTGCACGTCCCGACATCATCAAGCCTATCAATGATCTGGCCACAAAGGTCCAGTCGTGGTCCAGGGGGGATGATAAGAAGGTCCTAAGATTAATCCAGTATATAGCCTCAACACCACACTACAGGTTAGTAGGTACCATTCAGGACAAGCCTGAAGACCTAGAGCTTAGACTGTTTGTCGATGCCGACTTCGCCGGCGACAGATCAACTGCACGCTCAACCTCCGGTGGCTTTTTGGTTTTAACTGGCCCTAGTTCCTTCTTCCCACTTGCATGGATTAGCAAGCGCCAGACATCCACTTCTAGATCGACCACGGAAAGCGAGGTTGTTAGTTTAGCACATTCGCTTTATCAAGAAGGCTTGCCTGCCTTACAGTTATGGGAGCTGTTGCTTGCACGCTCCGTAACCCTTAAGGTCCACGAAGATAACCAAGCAACAATCCTAGTTGTGAAGAAAGGATATAGTCCCAAGCTTCGCCATATAACTAGAACGCACAAAGTAAACCTGTCTTGCCTGTCTGAAGTCTTCCGGGATGACTCTGCCGAAATAGAGTACACCCACACGGATGATCAGGCGGCAGACATATTCACCAAGGCATTGCCTCCACACAAATGGGCAGCAGCACTAATCCTTCTAGGAATACGTACTGATCTCCCCTTAGACCTTAAAGCCAACGCCTAGGTCGCTGCGGACGCCCGTTCGCGCGACAGTAGTTGCGTAGGTTACTGCCAACGCGCAGTGCGTGTGGAACAGGCGAGGGGGGAGTTGAAATATACCGACCCCTGAGCCCCACTATGTATAGCATAGGTAGTAGGTCATGTGTAGAGCACTGCCGTAGCTATGAGAACCAATAGTCCGAAGTAGTACATCTCAATACATGTACAGTAGTAGCACCATATACCTAGAAGCGTTAGGTATATAGGTAGTCGTAGTTAGAAATGGGTAGCCTTTAGTTCCCTCAACCCTAACAACAACCTGGGTCCGGGGTAACTTCTACGCCATTGATGCTACATGGCTCAAGTGCACAAAATAGTGTGTGCTTGCATGTTGTGTTGCAGGGTTTGCCGGATTAGTTTCCCCCTTTTCTTTTGGGTGGCTGGTTCGACCCCCTGTTTGTCTATATTAACCACTATTAACAGTATATTATCAGTATTATTAACCACCAAAACCAGATGGTAACAGTATTATTAACCATTGATTTTCCACATTTCTATCCAACCATGACGCGCTGACGTCCCAGGAGGCGCAGTCCTTGAAGCGCGAGTTGGAGGAGCTGCGGTTTCAGGTGCGACCGAAAAAAAACGACCGAAACCGGGGGGCAGAAACGATGAAAAAATGACTGTTGAGTGGGTTTACACTGGTTTACACTGGTTTAGACTTTTGATAGTGGTTGGGTTGTAAGGGGTTCATGCGGTCAGTGGTGAGATACTAAGATGCGTCCGGTTTGGTGTTGAGTTGTGGGATGACCAGGGACCTTTAGCCCAATGGGAAGACAGAAGTGTGGCATGGTCAGAATTTAGGACCCAGCCCCAAATCCTAGTCATCTCTAGCAACGCCATCCACTTTTGGCGTCCTGATTTCTTTTGGGTGTATAATCCCCCAATGCTTAAGGACCTTAAGGACCGATTGGAGCCTCTCTCGATATCCCCAGTGGATCCATGGGAGCAAAAAAGACGAAGACAACTTCTGGCTGATGAAGAGTTAGCAGTTAGGAACTATGAACACCATTTTTGGTGAAACCCAGTTAAAACCGCCAAATCAGGTTGGGAACCATGAATTTTTCGATCACTCAAGCGAAATATCAACTAATATCAACCCGCCAATCGCAACCTGTCAGGCTCTGTCACAGCGAGACACCTTCGCGGCAGAGTTTTCAGCAGTGCAGAATGAGAAGATGCAGTTGAAAGAATCCAGCCACTAGGGACGAACGGAGGATTACCAACGGAGATTCCCCTGGCTATGGAAATCCATGGTTGTTTCCCGGTCTCCCGGACGAAGATTTTTTACATGTCTGGTGGATTTTCACGGACTTTCCATATCTATGTGACAGAGGGATGGTCTCGCGAGATCGGGAAGCAACATAAATGGTAGGATCCAAGACATGGTACGATGTCTTACCCTTTGGTTATTTAACATAGCCATGGAAAATGGAAAATCATCACTTTAAATAGGTATGGGTCATTTTCCATAGCAAACTCTTAAATCAAATAGGTTTACCGTGTGGCATGCCTAAACCATGTCCATTGAATCAATGGAGACCGAGGGATGGCACAAAAACACAGTCTGGGGGGCCCCAATCTCTCATCTGCAATTGTGCAATATCCAGTTTTTGTAGTTCCCCAAATGTTGACACATGGCTAAGAGATCTGAAGAGTAGATTGATTTAACCCACATTGTAATCATGGGAGCTGTTGACTGTTAGCAAGATACCCATAGATTATACAGTCAGTAATATATCACAATAATATGCAATAATTATATCATATATCATACTATCATATATCATATATGTCATATATATCATACCCATTATATCATGATTATCATACCATGATTCGTGTAGTAGAATACTTCTGGGTGATGATATCGATGGTCCCGAGAACTGCAGCAGAATGCCCGTCGATTTTGTCAACTGGGGACGGCATTAGGGTCAACGGAAAAATGCTGGGAGATATACCAACGTTAAAAAGTCATGGGATTATACCAATGAAGCAGATTAGTAGTGTTTGTTCATTGATATCTATGTTTATTCCAATGAACATCCTTCTTTCCTACTCATATACCAATATATTGCTGTACCAACCTATACAAAAGGTTGATCATTCCCATTACTATCCCAATTTCTATCCATTTAATTGTAACTTCGATTCATGCCCCATTCGTTTCCCATCAATACTCTATTAGTAACATTACCATAATTACCTCCACATGTATCCCCATTATCCATTATCCATATCTTTTTCTCACATGTTGTTATCATATACGGGAATATTCCAATAGTAACATATGGAAATAGTACTTAGTGAGAATATTCCAATCAGAAGTACTCACTCATTCTCCATTACTCTTATGATATATGCTATGATCTTTGATGGTCGAATCCCTATCCATCCGACACTTTGCTGAGTTCCAGCTTTTCCTCAGATCTATTGCTGTCAATATTTTACATATTCTCCATGTCTAAGACATACATCATTGGCTACCATTATTCCATTGGTATATGTAACACATATTATATATACACATATATATATATGTTATACATATACACGTTATATATTGGTATGGAAGCATTCGCAATATTTTCCATATCTTATCCATTTAGTTATGGATATCCATCTCCAGGTCCATCTATTCAATTCGTTCCCCATCTCCAAATGAGTCCCCTAATCACTATAACAGGCAAATAGTGATGCTTACTATTTGGTATATGACGTTAGTATACATGGCCTAATCATCTATAGTGAATCTATAGTGATTACTACACCATGTTACTAATATGTTACTATATATATATATATTTAATTTGCTATAATCTATAGATGTTACTATAAATGTTGCTATGAATATGCTATGATGTTACCATTGAGTACATAAATGCTATAAATGTTATGATGTTTCCCATTGAATATACTATGAATATGCTATGATGCTACCTTTGATGTTACCATACATGTTACTATGAATATGCTATACCATGACAACTATGATGTTCTATAGATATCTATCATGGGAAAATAAACTATGAATAGCATTTACTATCATGTTTATTCTATACATAGATGCTATATTCATGTTACCATTCAATAATCTATAGATGTTGCCATGACAACTATGATGTTCTATAGATATCTATAGATGCTATAAATATCTTACCATTCCATGTTCCCCATCGTTCCATCGTCGTTTCCAGGCGAGTCCACTGCGGTCGCCTCGGCGCACCGCAGCTGGCGCTTCCTCTCCGCGCAGCTCCGCGGCAGCGCGCTGCGCGCGCTGCTGCAGGGCCTGCGGCAGCAGCCGGGGGAACGACGCCGCTGCGAGGCCACCGTAACCGGGGAAGACCCGAAAAGGGCACCGGGGGGGTCCTTTCAAGGCGCCCAGGCGCCCGAAAAAAAGGGAGGTTCACTTTAGCAAAGATGTGGCTATGGATCAATACCTATGAAAATACCATGTTTATTGGGATGAACATCCATAAATCCCAGCTATTTTGATGTGAACTACAGGGGTACAAGGTTTTGACACACTGCCATGTGGATTTATGTGGATCTCTATGGGACTGCTGAAATGAGATGAATTTGACTATTTTTTTGAGAAGATTTTATGATTTGAGGAGAATCATGCATGTTTCTGGGGGGTTGAAGATTGATCAATGACAAAGGGTGATCCATGGGTTCCGATTTGTGGATGGATCAAAGAAAAAAAAACATATCTATGTCAATTTTTGAGGATTGTAAGCTGCATTTTTGGGGTTTGAGATGCCAAGAAGGGAAACATTACGGTGATCAAAGGCAACAAAACATGGAGATAAATCCAGATTAATCATCCTGCAGAGCGATGAGCACCAATTGCGGGTCCCACAGAATTCTTGCAAATTGCCAATTGGCAATGCTGAATTTTTCACGTTCTGTTGATGAACTTATTGCCAAGTGAACACATTTTTTTTGGTGAGATTTGGTCACGTTTGGTATGATATGGTATGATCTCAAATGTGTATGCGTCCAACAGAGCTATTCAAAAAACAGGCAAAATTGTGTATGGTTAAGAGGATGTCATCCCCCAAAGGTGACCTCAATGATAGATATGGGTAGTGAACCCAAACATCATTTGGGTTGTTGCCTTATTGGCTTTTAACAAACCCAAACATTCAAAAACGGTGGTCACAAGGCTTGGTTGGCAAAAAATCCTCATGATTGTTATCCTCATGACGATTATTATATATCACTTCTCCAAAAATTCATAAGCTTTGTCCCCACAATCAACCCCAATGACACCCTTCAGTACTCAAACGTGGCCAGGGATTTTCCAAAATAAAACCTCTATAGGGGATTTCTGGATATCAAGGTACCGATGGGTTCCAAGCCCTAAAAGGCCTTAGAGTCCTCTTGGCGTTGCCTCGTGTCCATGTTGCTGGCCGAGCACCCTTGGCGCCTGCGAAGTGGCGCCTTGGTGGCTAAAATCAACGGATTTTCATCGGAAAAACCATGGGAACACTTAATTTTAACAACCTTGGATAGATACTCTAAGATTTTTGTATCTTTATGTATCTTTAGTAGAACTTCATCTTCATATCTAGCGTTGGGTCCTGGGTATTTTCCGCCAGAAATTTCACGATCCACCTTGGGGGAGTTGAGTCGGGGTCCCATCCCTACATCAAAACATATCAAAGCATATCATGTTCCACATGTGAAACAGCTATGACTGTAGAAAGATTTGGAAAGAAGGGTCTTTAAAGTATTTCTTCCATTTTTCGACATCAAAAAATCTAGCATTCTTCATTGCTGACCAAAATCCTTACGCTGCTTAAGCCAGCAATTGTTCTTTGATTTGTACACGATTTTCTCATATTTTCTCCATCCAAATCCCCCAATTCGGCTGCCATCACGTCCTGAGACGCCACGATCTTGGCGGTCGAAAAGCTGCATCTGCGGCGGCAGCAGTCCATCGAAGTGCTGCGTGCTTTGGCTGCACGGTGTCCATTTTGGGATCAACTGGGATCAGCTCAACTGGTGGGTGGTTTCATTTTGTTAAAGTTTACACCTTTTTGAAACGGGATGCTGGTCCCAGCTTTTGAATCTTTTTCAGGTGGCGAGAAAGCACCAGCCAGTCAATATTTGCTTAAACAGGGTGAAACTGCAGTTTTCTCTCAAATTTCCCAAGTTGGCTTAAGATCCTTTCAAAAGTTCAGTTTTTGCTAAACAAAAATCGCTATTTTCAGGTTTTTACCCAGTAAATTTCCATTTTCTCCATTTTTTCCACCAAATCCACACATTCCTCGGTGCCATGGCCATGGCCATGGCAGGACAACGCCGTCCCCTGGTGCGGCTGGCAGCCTTTGGCTCGGCGCTGCGGCAGCGCGAGCGGAAGCGCTTCTGTGGGGAGGTGGAGAAATGCTTGCGCCACTTGGTCGAAATGATTCGAAATGCTGGTTTTTGGTGGTTAATAATGGTAGATTTATAATAGGTATTCAATCGTGTTTTCTTTAACACCATTTTTTAGAATGCTGGTATTCAATGGTTAGAAATGCTGGTTACTGTTAATAATACTGTTAATAATGGTTAATATATGGTTAATATATGGTTAATATATGGTTAATATATGGTTAGTATATGGTTAATATATGGTTAATGATACCATCTATTAATGGGATGATCGGATGATACCCTCTGGTTATGACTAACACAGCCATGGTATAGATGGCCCATAGCAATAGATGGTTTACCTATTAAAAATGGTGATTTCCCATGGCCATGTTGAATAACCAGATGGTAATAATGCATTTATGAATTTGAATCATGGTCATTTTAAGATTATTTGGGCTTATTTGAGATTTTGACTGAGAACATGTTTCGGATTGTGATTATGGGTCAATTACGACTGAGATTATGGGACAATGGCGACGCTCAAAACACTTGTTGGTTGATGATTATATAGTTCCGCGATTATATTACGTACCCCATAGGTACGTTTATTTATAGTATATATATATAGATATACTGATAGAGTTATCATAATCCAACATCGGAATCCCATTCTTAACCAAGCCGTTTTTCATGGAACTACAGAGGGCCAGAGAACACTGCTTATTTCGTGGGATGGGTCAACAAGGGGCAATTTGGGATAGATAGTCATATACGCAGTATTAATCAACAAATTATCACTTATCACCCCCAAGAAGATAAAAACGTAACATCCTACTGACATAAGGGCAACATACTTTTCTTTGTTTTTGAATGTTACTACAATGGTTGATTAATAAATGGGTCATTACAAAAGCAATAAGCATGCACATATTTATCAATTGCATTCACCACCTAAAGAGAATATGGGGTATATCATGATGGGTGTAATGATGACTATATACTGTGTATATTTAATTGTTATTTACATAACGGTGAATGTATTTACATAATTTGGTCGGTACTTTTCCTATAATCTAACCACCGAGGAGAGAGCTAAGATGCTATGGATATCGATATTCCCTGCATGGGGAGCACATGAGCTACTGAGAGTTTGCCAACCACATGATAGTAATGTTTACTTACCCAATCCTGGATGTCCTTTTTCAGGGGTAGATTCATGGGTATATTATTATACCGATGGATATAGTAGGGGATCATTAGCTAAGCACAAACAGAATGGCTAACTAGCCCAGACGATAGTTTCGTAGCCAATAAACCTAGATCACTAGAACTGATTGGCTATGGGTATACTGCGGTTGCGCTGTTGAGCCGACTTGCAGTCATCAGCATTGATATGGATTAGATGGTTGGATATATGGGCTTAAATGGCTTAAATGATTGGTTGGTTGAGCGCATAAAAACCTTGACCATGGGCTTTAATGGGTATCTTAGTAGACTTGGTGGGGGGTGTATACAGAAGTAGGCAAGAACAGTTTCAATCATCGATGGGACGCGTTTCGATAGGATGAGGATCACTCACCAGAGGAATCTCTGGTCGAGTAGACGGGTCAAAAGCTATGATGAAAAAAAGCGTGGGGTACCACGTTTCCAACAAAGCACCAGGTCAGTGTTGACCAGGGTACCAGGGTTTGGATCCACAGCAATATTGGTCTTCCGCGGGAACATGGATGGGAAGTGGATGGGAATGGACCAGCAAACATGGGGTAATGAAATTTTCGAATTCACCATCCAAGTGTGGAGGCTTTTACAGATGTGGAATCATGAAGGTCAACAGATTCCCGTGGGATATTTCGGCCATGCTTTTGACATGGGACTTTCATGATGAAAATGCGAAGGTTATCCCCCCAAAAAAGTGTGAGAATTTCACGCGCCAGCAGGATTGGGAATCAGCAGGTACAGCCAGAAGATCCACAGAATTTATGTGTTCTCAACCCATCTTTGGGAATGTCACAAATCTTTGGTGAATACTCATAGCGACCCCAAAAGATAGACACATCAAATCCGACTTAAATAGAGGATGATAAAAGCACATGAACAATCAAATCCGATTAAAATAGTATATAATATTATATAATTATGTAATTTCCTTTTCTATTTTCTTTTTTGGGGTTACTGCAAAACGAAGAAACAAACAGATCCGGGCCCAAGTTCACCAGAATTTCTGTCAGATGAAGCAGAAAATTCGCCGATTTATTTGCACCAGCAATCATCAGGAATCATAATTCATCATTGTTAGTATCATTGACACTGAAAACCATATTTTCATATATTTTCACTAGCTTACTCAGGACCGAAAACCATATATTTTACCTGATTCTGCAAAAAAAACATTCTTCATCATATTAACAGTTTAATCGTACTAACCATCATTAATCGTTTTTTAATGATATTTAACCATCATTAACCATCATTAGGCATCACTATTCTTCCAGTAAATCCCCCAAAAACTTCTCACTCACTAAATGGTTATTCTATATATATATATAAAGCTGGCTCTTTCCAGTCATTTTTCCCAATCTTTCACCATATTATATAGCCATATTAACCATACATATATTCGCCATCATTCATCACCATTCATAATCATCATGTCTAACCATCACCATCGCTATTCTTTCAGTATTTTCCCCCAGCGTTTTTTTCCATCCGCCGTTGGCGCCTTCGTTCACCGCGTAGCGCTTCGTTCGCTGCGAGCCGCGCCCAGGTGACGTGTCCCGCGCCCAGTGCGTCCTGCAGCGCTGCAGCGCGACGCTGCTGCGCTTGGCCCAGCGCTGGGCGCTGCGGCGGCTGCAGCAGGCCACGCAGTCGGAGCTGCGGGACGCGCGACGCGTGGAACGTTGGGAGGCAGGGAAGGATGGGAAGGGATGGAAAGTTGGGGGAACAATGGAAATCATATCCAAATATGGAGTAATATGAACAATATCTTGGGGATCTTGGGGGTACATGATATTGGATATAGTGGAGTATCATATGCAAATGTGGAATGTAATGATAAGCAACTTCAGAACCAACTAGCTGAAACTTGGGGGGATAATGGATGGAGTAGAGTGGCACACACACATACATATATATATACACATAATATGGGATATAATCTGAGATATGATGTGGGTCGCTGAATCTTGGTGTATAATGGGTAGAAGTGGGATTTTATAGATGGAATATAATAGGTATATAACCAACTTCACATGTGAGAAATCCTCCTTGAACTTCAGGGGAGGTCGAGTTGTCTTTTCACAACCAAAAGAACATTCATCTACCCTCTGGTCATTCGACATAGCTATGGAACATTCAACTTTTTCAAAAGGGACATCATCTATCTAAATGGGCCATGGCTTCCGTAGCAAATTGTTACACAGATGAGTTATTTTCCACCCTATTCCTAACGATAACTTGTTCAACTTGTTTTTGGGATGATATATATATATATTATGGAGGTTTCCTAAAATAGAAGTACCCCTAGTTATCATCCATTTTAGTGGGATTTTCCCTTATAAACCATGCAGCTATTGGGGTACCCCCATTTGTGGAAACCTCCATATACGTCTATTACTATCCATTTGGCTTCACCCTCCTTCTTGGGCAATGTTTGGATTCCAAATTTCCTCATCTTCCATTTCACCAGGCGCATCTGGAATTCTTAGTGGTTGGCATCAACATCCACATTTAGGGCCTCAACATCTGCATTTCATCAGGCTATATTGCAGCTAAGTGCTAGTTGCAATCATGGCTAGAACATCACGGATGAAAATCGATGAGGTCCTACAAAAATCTGAGATTTTCCAGCTTTTCCAGCTTTTCGCCTTTGACACAGAGTACTTTCCCCGACTCAGGCCATGCTGCAGTCCTGGTCTGAAAAATCCGCGCTGGCCAACGCCAAAGAGGTGCGCACCGTTGCACACAGTTGGGCGCCTTGAGGAGTGGAAGAAAATGTACCACTTTGTACACTATGTACCTATGGAAACAGTGGTGTATAATGGATAATCACTAGAAACAGTGGTGTATAATGGATATTTTTCAATGAATATCTATCACCACATGGTTGTTTTTTGATCCATTTTCCATATTACACACTGTGCATCATGGATATTTGAAACATTTGCGCACACCATTTGCTGTTTCCATTGGAACATATACCACTTTGTAGGTGATTGGATAATTTGTACAGATACATCGTGGATAATTGGAAATATGCAACATATGACGGATGATATGGATAATATGAACTGTTCCAACAATGATTGGAACATATGATGGAAAATATGGAATAGATGATGGATGATTGGTGAATATTTTGGATGTGTATAATATATATATATATACTATTTGGAACATCACAATGATCGGAATATTTTTCAATATTATCAATATCAATCCACATTATCCATGTTGATTGGAATTTTTGCTGGATAATATGGACGATATGACGGATAATCGGCAAGGCAAAGTAAAGCAACCAGATACTGTCATACAACTCAGAAATGCAGTATTGATTGGTAAGATACGATGGATAATATAAATTAAAAGTATCATAGAATGGGGTGAAACCGTTGTAGTCATGGTGATTACCACCTAGTCTTACAAATTGAGGTTCCCTACAGGCTTCACAGAATTGGATGGTGGAGACAATTTGTAGGAAATCCTAAGGTTCCCCCCAAAGGCTTGGCATCCTCGCCGTTGATGCGGGGGTCTGACCCATTCTAGTCTGCCAAAAAAGTCACATTTTGTTGAGTCACATGTAATTTTTGCATTTTTTCCCCTTTGCACCCTTTTAAGTCAAAGCTTAAAATGCTGAAGGAGCAACACATCTCAATTTTCACTAAGAAACTTATCTACTTGGAGAACCTTTTCCTTTGCCAGCAGGGAGGCTATTTTTCAGGCCATGTGGACCCATTGTCTCTGGTTTCTGGTTGCTGGAGGCGCAAAAAGCCACGGCAGCCCAGTTCTTGGTTCACATGCTGGTGGCGCAAGAGAGGCACCGGGATGACATATTGGGATGACCAGCTGGCAGTGAGTCGCCGACATTTTGGTGTCCTTGGTGTCATTGAATGATCCAAAACTTGCCATTCTTGGGATGGTTGCCCCTTTTTGACTCATACCCAGCTGACCTAGCTCAACTTTTGGAGGATTCGATGTAGGTAGAACACGGTGAAGCAAATCCAAAAAAGGGCCATAGCTGAGATGATAGCTGATAGCGCTCAACATCAATGGTCGTTGACAACTTTTGTTCCTCTAGGATTGGTGGATTATCAAGTACTTTGGCCCACTGAGCCAAAAGTATGTATCCCTATAATCTATGGCGAATGTTTGTCATAGCAGTACATTCTCATCCATCCCAGCAACAAGAACATTACAAACAAAATGCGCTTCAAACTTATAGCTGTTTTGAGTTTCATCAGTTCCGCTACAATCCCAGAATTATTTGAACTGCCAAATCGCAGAAGATCCCATATTTGATGGAAGAAACAAGGTTTTCCTAGAGATTTTCCATGTCAGTAAACCAATTGATTGATACAAGATAGTGGACCGCTTTTTTGGGCCAGCACGAGTGACTGTGGCATCTGACCCGGCAGGCAGTGTTGCCTTGTAGCCGTGCAGCGTGTGGTGGCTCAAGTTGGTTATTGATTTGATTCTGGTTGATTGATCAATAACCCCAACATTGGTTATGGTTGACCAATAATCAATTGATAACCAATTGACAACCAATTGATAACCAATTGATAACCAATTGATAACCAAGAACCAATTGACCAACATTGGTTATGATTATTGTTGGTCCATCATTTGGTTCCTGGACGCCACATTGGTCAAAATCATAGACCCCCAACATGGAGTGAAATTGGTCCTAGCAAGTGACCAATTTCGTAGGTCCGTTTCGTACCCCAGTTTTGACCTATCCCGTTTCCGATCCTTTGTATATGACGTAATCACTTACTTCCTGTGGATGAAACAAGGGACATTGCTCTCAAACGTCAAAACATATGTGATTGGCGGGTTGGTGATGAGCTGTTTTCCAGCTTTGATGTTGTCTCTACAGATTCTCTTTCGTGTAAAGGTCAACGCTGCTTACCCCACCACAGATTTTCCCCAAATCCACCCAGGTTGGCGTTCCTCTGCCGTGATCCACAGCGTTCAGGTGGCTGAGTGAACCGCAAGGAGTGAACCAACCAGGAAATTTCCACATTTTTTCCGGCCCAAGATGGAGGATTTCACCAGGGCCACATCAATCTTGGCCAATGACTGATGGCATGACGGACCTCACCATTTTTATGGTAGTTTCGGTGATGGTTTTTATATGTCTTTATGGGACTCATCTGAAAGTTGGTGGACTCAGAGCCCACCTGGAACCCATAAATTGATGCATCTTCCGGCCGTGAGCAAAGTATGGAAAAGTTCAGGGCACCGAGGTGAAGATTTCACACGGAAGATAGAAGATCCATCTTCGGATATAAGATGAGTCCTAGCTTCTAGGGGGGTAGCCCAATTCTATGATTGATCAAGCTGCCCAGCGTTGTTCCAGGTGGCGGCGGACCGGAGGGTGGCTGCACACTGCGAATCGAAGCGGCAGCTCCGCTTGCAGCAGGGCTTGTCGGATGCCCCAGGGGAGTGCCAGAAGGGAACGGACGATGTCGGTGTCACCAAGAATGGGAGAGTCGGCCAACAGCGTTGGAACTAGACTCCTCTAGTCTCACAAATAGTGAGCATTTAGACTTAAGATGTCTTAAGATAGAATTTTCAGGGAATCTAAGGTGCGCATTCGACCGCAGTCACACGTGAAAATCAAGAACCTCTGCCAATCAAAGATGACAACGGGCAATTCCCATTTTATATCATATCCATTTATGTCAATGATTTTTCCATCAAAATCTTCAAATCCATAGGGGATTTCACCAGAATTGCTGATCGAGGTCTATCCTCAGCGGTGTCGTGCAACGCCGCTTGCAGCTCGCGCTTTCGCAGGCGGACAATTTCCCCATGTTCCGAAAATCGTAGATGGATTTCCAAGTGGGAAAGCCATTTCTATCCATTTCTTAGAAAAATTGAACACCAGTTAAATGATGTTAAATGATGTTAAATGTATATAATCATATATGAACTATACATGGATGGTTTTGCCGCCGCATGTCTCTTTGAGTTACAGGGCTATTTCGTTGAAGGTTTTGGACCCCTAATCCCTCCTTGCAGACTCGCTGTGTCGATACCTTTTAATTTTGGGTTTCATAGAATTTTTCCCCTAGACCAAAATTCAGCAAGTAGTAAACCCAACGTGGTCCCAATTAATCCTCATTCAACTAGTCAATAGGAAGGAGGGTGGATTTGATGTACAGTGAATCCATGATGGGCTCGATAAAAAGAACCGGATATTGGCATGCCTACACAATGGATATTTTGATACACAAAATGACCCATTTGGTGGGTTCATGATGGTTTTTAAAAGGTTTTTTGATCCATACCCAACATATTAAGCTTCTTGTTTCTAGATAAAGCCAACCTTTTTCATGGCAAATGCGTTATTTTTGATTGGCACCTAGCCTTTGGTATTTAAACATTGGTATGGAAAATAACCATGCTGAATATGTAAACTCTATACATGGTTGAGTTTCTACAGCTGTGTCAACTTAGCAGCACTTCTTCCCGAATTTCCAAACAGGCCGTAGCCTGTTTGGATGCGAGGCGATGCTGGGGCAATGGCGCGTTCTTCGTTGGCAACAAATGGTGCCGTGGGAAGTCGACATCCGTCAATTCTTTCTGAGATTTACGGGGTTTTTAGTTGGATAAACCCAATAGATTGAGAAAGTCTGGGTGCATTCATCCTTTGTTTATCTGAGATTTATTGGCAACTGGGCTTTTTTAGTAGGCCCAAGAAAAGGCCCATAGACCAAAATATTTCTTCACAATTTCGGTGGGTTTGTCCCATCCTTCCATATGAGACTGACATGTGTCATAACATTGGATATTTTGAACAGATTAGGTATGTTTGCGTGGTTACGGGGAATGATGGGGTATGAGGCAGATAGTTGGGGAAGTTTGCACTTAGAACCCACTTCAAACATAGCCGGACTCACACTTAGAAGCACTTGGAGTTCCAAGTGCACTACTTTTTCCATACCTCAGCGTTTTGGAGAATTTTCCAGGCTTCCAAGTCCGTGTCCGGCACATTTTCATCACATGCATATCAACCACATGTATGTTGTTTTGATATACTCATCTTTCACAGCGCTGATGAATTCCCAGGTGAAATCAAAGGTGGTGAAAACCTGACCCCAACTTGAAAAGATATCTATGATATCTATGACATGCTCAAATGGATTCAAATGGTAGAAATGAGGTATGATTTATTTATGATTTAGTATTGGCTTTGTCACTGAAGTCAAAATGACGATAAACTTTTTTTTTCTATGGAGAATTCACCTTAAAGCGACCGTTCACCTTGAAATTTGGACCCCCAAAATCCCGTTGCGAGCATCGGCTTGGTCTCTCTGGCAACCTGGGAATTGGAGACCAAACAAGGCCAACAAAACTAGCAACCATAGTGAGATAAACTTACCAAAATCATGGTACTTGCAAAAATCTCATTTTTTCCCGGTATCCCCAAAAAACGGTCAGTTAAGTCTTCAGACATTATGGAAAAAATCCGTGAACATCTACCATTTTTGCTGTAGCCACGACCATCCAGCCTTCACCTTCGGCAGGTTGGATCCTTGGACGCGTCCCTGGCGCGCGATCATCGCCGGATGATGGAGGATTCCCATGGGTTTCCCCAAGGTTTCTCCATGGTTTCTCTGGTTTACCTAAGATGAACATAGATAAACAACATTTGAGAAGCTTCGACCATTTCCAAGTTCGGAACGAACCAGAGATCCGAAAAGACATCATTTGTTTGTTTCCTTTCATCTCCAAAAATCAGGATTCAAGCAGCAAAAATGGGAAGCTTTCAACTCCGACAGAGGTTTGTGGGGAAATGGTGTATATCCCAAGATTGCCGGTTGGAATAGGGAAAATACACTTTACTTCTTTGCTGGGGGTCCCTCATTTTCCGACGTGGTAAGGGGAAACCCAGATGGTGAAAATGGCAGTTTTTGTCAAAGTTAGACACTTCACCATATTCAGATCATATTCACCAAGTTCCAAGTTGAACCCACCAAAATCCCAAGTTCACCAAGCATGGGATTTTTGGGGCGCAAAGGAGACGGACTTGCTTCGAAGTCAGCTGGTTCAGAGCCAGGATGAGGCGCACAGAATATGGAGATTGACCTGGAAAATATGGGACTGGACTTTCCCAAATATGGATTTAGTGCAAAATATCGGAGTTTTTCACAGCAAGATTGCTGGGTTAAATCATCCAAGTTATTAGACCATTTAGTATCGAAAGTCATGGTGACTTGGGGTTTTGCTCATAGGAAATCCATAATATGATAATCTGACCAAATCTGACCATATTCTCAGAATTCTGTTGATCCACAAATGGAGGTCTCGAATAGACATCAACATCATCAACCTTGGCCAGCCAGGGACCACACTAGCTACTCATATTTGCGGTTCCAGCTCAGTTGTTAAGCCCACCATCTTAGTTTCACAACTCCAATTGAAGTTCCAGCGGTTGCGTATAGCAAAGTGCGGTTGCAGTATGGCAGTATAGGATTCAGTGTTGTTTGGGATGTTTACCCTCAAATTATCAGCCAGAAAAGAATCTCAAGTCACGTGTGTTTGTACCATCTCTGGATGGATTTTCAGGACCATGCGAGGACATCGTAGTTTGTATAGATCCTCTTGAACCTCTTCAATGGTTCAACAACCAATTCCCCCAACAAATCTATGATAGGAAAGCCAGGTTGGTGGTATCCCATCCCACATATCAAGCACCAAGTTTCAGCACCCAAGGGTCAACGGGTGGCGTGGGTTCTCGTGCTTTGGAATTGTTGGACTGTTCCAGTTGGTGAGAATCCCCCCAGAGGAATGCTGGGATTGCAAAGCACCAGCCCAAACCATCACTTAACTGGTTGGTGGTTTGAGTCATACTATTTTCAACTGGTGAAATGGGATGATGATCCCCAATGAGCACATTTTATTGGGGATTCATCAACATTAAACTATCATTAAACATTCCAAATGCCATGGAGCACATCTTCCAGATATCCGTAAGCTATGGGATCCATAGTACATTTTCCGGATATTCATTTTCCAGATGTCAGCACATTTTCAACCATTCATAGAATTGGATGATGGGAAAATTTACAGGAAAACCCTATATTTGATAGATTTTGATAGTAAAAACCATGGTTTCCGGTTAAGATTTTCCCTTAAACCAATCCATTGAACCATAGTAAGTTCTCACCGGCCTCCTGGTCGCAGGCCTTGGCGCTGCGCACCTCGCAGGCGCAGGAGGCGCAGGAGGCGTTGCAGATGAAGCTGCAGGCAGAGGCACCGAACGCTGGAAGGGTGGAATGATTCATGAGGGATGTGAGCCATGGTCAATACTCACTATATGAATAAGGATCCAAAAATAATGGTTATTATAAATCCCATTAAATCACCATTGGATGACTAGCCCCGTTTTTAATGGTTATTAACCATGAGTATTGACCACAGCTCATGTGATGTTTCGATTTAGAGAACTAGATAGATATATGTTTTGTAGTCCTATCTAATTAGTTATTCTACACGTTACATAAATAAATAGGTACGCACATATATACGTATATATATATACGTATATATATATACATATATATATATATTACATATAATATAATAATTTAATATATATATATAATAATAACAATATATATAGAAATACTTTACTTCAAGGAACGGTGGAACGATTGATGGGATGGGATGTATAATTCAACATCTAGAACGGGGATGCATATATGCTTAACGGTGAATGGCAACAAAGTGGTGATACAAACTGGTTGGTGATATGGATGGGAACGATCATCCTCCATGAAGTGGGAATCTCCAACCAGTAGAATGACAGTTTTTTTTTTTAGCCACTGTTCAGTCAGATAGCTCTATATAGAGTGGATACAAGAGTTGCATTCAGTGTTGATGGCTTTAATTGGAAAATAGGTTTTTCACGACCCCCGATAGTAAGTCCATTTTTTAATTCCCTCCAAAAGTGGTATTTTTCATGATAGATGATGTTAGCTAGTGAGCAGTGATAGAAATTCTGGATGATTTGATGGGGATAGGATGGGTAGTCAACTAGGTCATGGCAGGTTCCAACCATGTAGCCGGGTAGCCCAATTCGGACCCGTAGCTATCTATGTATCTATATACACAATTACTCACACACAGGGGTAATGGTATGTGATTTGATGTGTATTTCCAGCGAATCCAACAGTTCAGACATATTCACTGATAGGGGTTATCAGCTAGTTGATTAGTTTTGGCCAGTCAATCAAATGGTAGACCTTGCAACTAAGTATACCAATTTGTAGGGACGCAATACACACGAGAAATGGGTTGATTAGTGAAGTAGTTGGATTCTTCACCTGAAATAGTAGTCAATAAAAGTATTTCACTGCTGGTTTATTGGGCTAAGTGGGAGTCTATTCCTACACCAACTGATTGATGGGGATAGCAATGGGAGTCAAACCATCGAAGTTTGCAACTCGGTGGCGTAAAAACAAAGGCATCAGATCTACCATCTGGTTATGACTAACATAGCCATAGAAAATCACCATTTGTAATAGGTAAACCATCTATAAATGGGCCATCTATACCATGGCTATGTTAAATAACCAGAGGGTACTTCTACCATACTAAGAAATCCCCAACTAGGCTTATCAGTCGCACAGGTTTTGTGGGCCCCATGACGCTACCAGGAAGGGAGTAGGGACCCCATGACCAAGTCGTGACAATCTGCATAGATCCCAAGCACATTCGACTCCAACCCAAAAAATATGGGACATACCCTCTGGTTATGACATTCACAGTTCGCCATGGGATTTCGCCATGGCCCATTGAAATAGATGGTTTACCTATTAAACATGGTGGATCTTTCCATAGCTTCGGCTCAGCTTTGGGCTGAACCATGAGGCCAACCTGGAAATCTTGAGGAATGATTGTGCTGCACAGGCGAGACGGGGGAATCCGCGAGTGGGGACCTTAGCTGATCTCGATCTTTGCCAATTTTCAGCAAAAAGGTAACCATTCACTGGTTGGTGGTTTCAAACATTTTTTATTTTTCCAGAATAAAAAAGGGATGTCATCCTTCCCATTGACGAACTCATATTTTTCAAGATGGTTATTGCACCACCAACCAGTAAAGCATTTTCTCCCGAATTTGATTGCTGTGTTTGCTTCCCTAGATCAACTCGGTAGCCAGCCGAGCCAGAATTTCTGGACGACTTGACCCTAGACCCGGACAGTGATGGGTCTCAAAACCAGCTTGACTGGATGGGGAAATCTTCTATCTTTCGTCAGTACTAAGTGGTTGGTGGTTTGGAACATGGCTTTTATGACTTTCCATATATTGGGAATAGTAACCCCAACTGGCTAATATTTCAACAGAGGGGTAGGTATACCACCAACCAGCTAAGTATACCAAGAATCAATCAACAACTTAGATTTTGAATCCATCAGTTTGATGTTGAAGATGGACCAAGTTGAGGTAGCTTGTCTACGTTCGGATTCTTCCCGACATGTTTTTAGGTCGGAAGCATCCAGCTCTGAGCCGAGCTCCAACAATGGAGGATGCCCCATGTCACAAACGGGGAAAATCGGCCATATCGAGACATTGAGCGGAAACCCCGTATCCTCAGATGGCTTCGGTCTCCAATCCTCACTGTATGTCCCAATCCGAACAACCGCTTGATGCAAAGTGCAATGCCGAAACTGGACACAAAAACAACCACCTGGCCTCGTCTGCGAAAAAGAGATACGCCTTGCCACAATGGCCCGCCCTCCCCGATCCCCATGCTCTCTACGGCTTGACACGAGCTTTGAGGTCGCCTTGTGCATGCTTGGAATTTTTGGTGCTTCAATTGTCACCAGGATGGTTATGGGGTGCAATGTTTTGTAAATGTGGACAAACCAAGTGAGCTCAATTTCGGGACACAGTACACATCTTTGGTATTTTTTCATCATTTTCCAATGATAACTTGGGCATCAAGACTTAAGCCTGAGAAGCATTGCTCAAGACCTCCACCGTTGAACATTGGTGCTCAATTTTGACACTGCCAATACCCCATTCATGAAGTCCTTTTCAAATGTTGCAGCCGCTCATTTTTGAAAACTCTGGGTGAATGCAAAATGGTCTTGGGCCTAGGGGCCTTCAAAGAAGATAGGAACGTGACTTCCTACTATTTTGATCTGATGACGATTTACTCTTCTGTCCTATTGGGAATTTATGGATACAAAATCGACCCTTCCATTTGTCCTCAAAGTCAAAGTTTGGGAGTTATTTGAGTCATGAAAAACCAAAGTGTATTCTCCAGCCAAAGATTAATGTTTTGCTGAGCTTCTCCGACTCCAGCTGGTTGGCTGAACCAAACAAGTGACCCAAACGGACATCGTGATTTTGATCATTCGATATTTATTCCAAACAGATTGTCATGCCATAGTCATCCTCATCTTTATTTTTAGACAATATACATGTATATATAGTGTGTATATATGTAATATATAACAAATATGTCAGACATATATATATATTATATTATATTATATTATATTATATTATATTATATTATATTTATACTGTATATATATATACTCTGTGTGTATATATGTGTGTATATATATATATAATAACAAATATGATCCATTCCATTCAACACATCAAACACTGTTTGAACTCCGGGAGTTTCACCCCCAAGTCTGCTTCCACGTAGGCCTCGCGACTTCTGGACTTGGAAGATGCCCAAGTCTCCAAAGATCAGTTGGTGGAGCGGCTCAAGCACCGCTGCCACCAGGCCGGCAGGTTGCCACCAAAATGGCAGTTTTAGATCGGAAAAATGATGATTCACCAGCAGATTTGGGTTTTCTTCAGCTAAATTTTCAGGCATTTCAATTTCCGCTAAAACCTGGACTTTTCCCCAGCTTTTTTTTTGCGCAAGGATAGTTTTCACCACTGGTTTTCATAACGAGATTTTCTGGTGGAATGAGTCTGTTCGGAGTATTTGGGCAAAAAGTGAATCCAATGATACATGGTTTCACTATATTTCACTATGTTTCAATATGTTTCAATGGGATTTTGATGTACATGATATATCAGGAAATTGATTTTGTTTGGACAATCCAGTGGTCTTTCCTGGAATCAGTTTCCCCCGTACAAAATGATCATTTTGATTGTAGAAATGTTGCTGATCTCTCAGTGGCATTGATGGCTAAGGCTAGAATATCCTACCTTGAACCCATTTGGTTTTCAAGGGTTTGAGCCATGAGATAAAGGGCCAAGTGCCCCAAATAGGATCTGACTATCGTGAGTTTCAGGTCGAAATATTGTTGGTTGTCCGCACGAAATCATGGCATGAACCAAGGATGTGAGTCAGATCCTTCCCATGGGAATCTCCACCAATTGCGATGAAATGCCATGTCCTGCTGGCGTACCTAGAAATGGGGGGTCAAAAACTATTATTCTTATTATTATGACTATCACTTCATGATTATGATTTGATGATTCATGATTTCATGACTAAATATATTCTTGTGATTCCTTATGATTATGAGCATTTCACATATTTCACTATTGTGATTATGATTACCATCTGGTCATGACTAACAGTTCGCCATGGAAAATCATCACCATGCTTTTTTCAGTTCGGTAAAACATCTATTTCGACAAAAGGGCCATGGCGAAATCCCATGGCGAACTGTTAGTCATTACCAGAGAGTATCATCCGATCATCCCATTAATAGATGGTATCATTAACCATATAATAACCATATATTAACCATTATTAACAGTATATTAACTGTTAGTCATTACCAGGTTGGGTACCGGATGACATATTTCGGATGAGCAGTCCAGCCAGCCGCCCATCCCTTGAGGCCAAGGTGAAACGAGAAAGCTTCCACCACTACCAGGTGCATCCCACGATCCGAGAATAGCTGGTGAATCACCATAGTTAGCCTCTAGTAATTTAACAGTTTGCTATTGAAAATGGGTGATTTATAGCGAGTTTACCCATTGAAAATGGTGATTTTCCATAGTTATGTGGCTGTTTACCAGAGGGTAGTCCAACCAGTTATTGAAGAAGTCCACGAAATGGAGATTTACAAACGGGTTAGCAACTTCACTGACTATAATAGTAGGGGATGATCCTCCAGCAACTCAAAAATGGGTCACTTTTTTATGGGGACTTGAGCTGATAAGGGAGTGGGGATCGACAGCAATGACCTATAGAAGTAACATCAGTAATAGAAAAGGGCGTTTCATCAACAAGAACAATGACAGAAGCTCGAAATGATGCGGGGAATGTTTCCCCGATAGAGAGCGGGTATGCGCAACACTTCGTATTCGATCATTGATCCAGGTGGCTCACCATCTCCGGATATCTCAAATCCCTGAGAATGCTGTGATGTGCCACTTAGGCGTTCAAAGGTGTGGTATATCCTATGTTCTACCTGTAAGATTTGTCCCAGATATATCCCAGCAATTTCCCGCTCATATGTGTGAATTTGGAGAGTTTATGATGTTTATTGCATCATGTGGTACACCGGTACACCCAATAAAAAACCATCCCCAATATGAGAGCAGAAATGGGCTGGTATCAACTTTCGGATTGGTAAACACCACATTTTGTCTACCAAAACCCACCGGGCCAGTGCCACCCCACAAGGCATTTGAAGAACTTGGATGGAATAGAACATCAACCACAAGCATGAGTGAAAATTATTGCTAAAAGGTCTCAAAAGGTCTGTACTTTCTGTTGCTTAACAAGGCTTGACACACCAATTACTCCCAATTTCTCAAAGCAACAACCGTGGCGCATGTCTGGTCTCAAGGCCAAAGATCTTCATCGCCAGGTCATCTGGGGCGTTCGAGATCGCTTTTTTTCCCCCCAAAGAAATTGGGTGAAGAAGTTCTGATGACACAGATTTCATATGCTGCGCACACACCTAGAAAATGCCATGACTATTCATGACTCATTTTCGACGAACTGTGTTTTCTTTTTGGGGTGATTTGTCTCGGGACAAGAACTCGGATAGTTCGTGAATGGAGGGGGGTGTCACTTTTGGTTCCTGGAGGAGGTGACAACTTTTTTCAAAGGGTTCCGTGTGCCACAAAGAAATGGCTGGAGGTTTCCCAATGGCTGGGGGTACCCCTTAGGGTCCCTAGCCCTAGTTATCATCCATTTTTGATTGGGATTTTCCATGAAATAAAGCAACTACTGTATTTTGGGAATCCATTTATGACACCCCCCATATGAACAAAGGTTACAAAACATGGAAGGTATCGCAATGTCACAAACGATCTCTTGTTTTAACCACTTTTTAGATTTCTTTCGGATCTCTTTCCGACTTTGCATCACCGGGAGAAGCATCTCAACTCCCTCAGAGTTCCCATTTGATTCTTGCAGCTGTACCTCCCAAAATGACATCATCCACAGATGACCTTATTCCAATTGGTTGTTGAGTAAGAGAGTGGTGACCCCCATATCAACAACCAACAACAACCAACAGGTGAAGATTGGATTGGTAAAAAGATCTATGATGATCTACGGTTAACATGGTTTTTGACACCAATTGCAAGGTTGCTTCAACCTATTGTAGGTAAATGTTTGTCACAAGGGGCTAAATAGGTGATTTGTCCCCTTACCACATTTACCTCCCTGTATCTGTAGCCAGGAACACCCCGGAACTATGGTAAAGCCTGAAACAATACTGCTTGGTTTGGAACATTTTTTACTTCTAAATTTTTCCATTCAGTTGGGATTGTCATCCCAACTGACGAACTCACTCCATGATTTTTCAGAGGGGTAGGTATACCATACCACCAACCAGAAGATCTCCCTGAAACCAACCGAGTGATTTCGAGTCTGTCCACCATGACTTTGCCAACTGTCACAGGTCATTTTCCACGCCTGGTTGTCGGTCTCGCGGCAAGACTTGGCCTTGGAGGCGCCTCGCGGATGTTCCAAGGATGCAGATGTGACATTACTATGGAAAACCACCATAGAAATAGTGGATTGTTCCCATGAAACATGGTGGATCTTTCCGTATGTCAAATTACCAGAGGGTATTTCTGTTCGGTGTTGAAAAAAAATCTTTATCTGATCAACATGCTGGGGATGCTGGGGAGACGCCGCTCTGTTTATTTGGGTTTTATCGATGAGCTTTTGAAAAGCGTTCCCTAAAAATCAATGAACTAATGAACTGTCATCCCTTCCCCCTAATACTAGACGCACCCCAGAGAAAACATGGTTTGATAGGGGATTTACATGGATTTACTCCGTTTTGGGACCTAACAGCGGGTGTTTGCTGTTAGGGGGATGGGGTTAATATGGATCATATAATCGTGTATGCTTTTACTTCTCCACCCGGATTTCAAGATGGATCGAAGTGACAATGTTAAGGCTGTCTCCGAAGGCATCTGATGCCAAGGAGGAAGAGAAACCAGAAGTAACTCCATTCTTTGGCGGTAATCTCATTTTTTCATTATCACATTTCACATTTCCTTACCATCAATGACTGTTTCATGATATTCCCCACTCCAACACAAATTTTAGGGCGTAACATTTTTTTTCAGACACACCAAAAAAATGGTGTGTTTTCCCCATTCAAATGAGGCAATTTGCCAATTTCATAAGCCAATTTTTCATAAGCCATTTCAACGACCCATTCGAGGGTCATTTGACATCATCCTGAACCTCGAACGTGTGGAGATGGTTTATTATCCCATCATTCAATATTCCTACTATAAATCTGGGATATAGTCTATAGATGTCTATATGGCATATAACGGCATTAATCGTCTATAATATCCATATATAACAATAAAATCCAATATACTCCCATAGAATTTTATAATCCATGATATTCTCCATGGAATATCCTATGTCCGGTAGGTGAATCCCACCTGAATTCACCATGGAAATTTGCCCCTTGCCTGTCGTCGTAGAGGCCAAGAAAAACGCGGGCGCTCATATGGCGCTCCAGATTTTGGCAGCGCTTGCGAGGTCGATGGCGAAAGTCCATGAATCAATATGCGGCCGTTTTATTTAACATGTACATAGCATTTAAAGTGTACATATGTGTATCAATGGATTGGTTTTTCTGGGACAATTGAAACCGGAAAGCCCCATACTTAATGGGAAAATCTATGGTTTCCTGTAGATTTTTCCTTAAACCAATCCATTGAGTGTACATTTATTAACCATATTTATATTAGGGATAATTGATTGATTATATGGGAGTATATGAATTTATTAAATATGGTATATGATTTATATCCCATTTTGGCTCAAGTGTTTGGCCCTGTTCGCTTTTCGCCTCCACTTCTTAGTCTTTGTGAAAATTAAGATGAATTGGAGGTTTTTACCACCTTCGCTTGCACTAGCATCATCCTCTTCAAGCTCGGGCTTGCAATTTACAGTTGACGTGATCCTGTATTTCGCTCCCTGACTTGTTGGTGGTTTATACGTGATCTAATCTTAACTGGTTTCGCCCTGGATTATTTCACGCTCTTCCTCTTTGCTATTCTCTGACCCCTTCCTGGTGATCGGGCTTTCATGAGATTTGCGATCAATTTTGTATTTGGCTTGTTTCTCATCCTTGTGGACTTTGTGCACCTCTTCGAGGAGGTTCCTGCGGAGTTCTATCGGCAGCACGACTTCGGCAACAAGGAGACGGGCTTTGAGACGGCAGCGAGCTTCTGCGCGCAAGCAGTGGCCCCTCCATCGCAAAGGTTTCCGTGTTCGACGACAATTGCTGAAAATCCATCGAACTTTGCAGCACCATCATTCCACGGATCAACATTTTTTGCGCCTCATCACCAGCGCAATGACCGACACGACGCAATGGAGGTGTTTGAATTGCAGGCAACTTCGAAAGCACTCAGCGACGTATTGCTGCAATCAGCCTTGGCAGAACGTAATTGACAGATCGTACATCGATCAGTCCAAACAGGGTCAGGGACAGACCGACCCTTATGCACACGATTGGAGACAAGATCAACCATGGGGGCAACAATGGCGCTCGAATTCACCTCGACAGCGAGTGCAGTCTCCCAGACATCGCAAGGGCAAGAAGCAGAATGGCAACTCGCCACGAGGCCAATCACGTGGCCGTGGACATGGGCCTCCTTCTTCTGACCAACAGCCAGGCAAAGGCAAAGGCAAAGGCGACTTTCCTCAAGTTCCTCAAGCACCCTTGCCTCCACCACCTATGCCGTGGCCAGGTTACATGCCAATGGGCCAAAATATGCCTGTGATGATGCGACAAATGGCTCAGATGCAACCCATGCAGATTGCCCCCGCCAGTACAACGACTACAATGCAATCGATGCAGCATCCGCCAATGCCAGCTCCTACCATGACTCCAGAGCAGCAAGCCAGAGAGCAGAAAATGCAGGAGTTGATGGCCTACTTGAAGCGCCGTGGACCAGACCTTCCACAGGATGTTTCCCAAAAAGTCCACGAGTTCTCCAAGAAGGATGGAGCACAAGCAAAGAAGGGTCTGCAAACAGCCGCAAAAGCCTTGGGCGAAGCCAAAGACACCTTAGAAGCAGCTCTCCAGGCACGTACGAACCTGATATCATCATGGAACACTTTCCTGACAGATGCGGTTCGTACATGGCAAGAGTACGGCCACCTGTTTCAAAGTCAGGAAGCCGAGCATCAGGAGAGGATTCAAGCTGCTCGAGAAGTCTTCACTTTGGCAAGTGGACGAAGCGAAGTCTGCTCTTGGAGAAGCCATCGAGGTGAACGACGTCGACGACGAGGAGGATCTTGCTGGCCCATCGAATGTGGCTACGTCAGAAAAGATTACCGAAAGTATGCAGTTCCTGACGGCATCACTGCATCAATTCCAGCAAAGAGCAGAAGAAATACATGTGGAAGTTCAGTCATCACTCAAACGCCCCAGACTGACATCACCAGAGTCCATGGATGCCAATATGCCGCCTCCCAATGCAGAAGCTTCTGGAGATGGAAGTGCCTCTGCAAGTACACCTGCTGCTTTGCAGCCTTTTGGTGCGGCCGGTCGTCAATGACTGAAGTGTATGACGGCCCATGGCCAGTTTTGGTTGAGAGTGCGTACGGCACTTTGCCCTCCATTCTCAAGTGGACTCACAGTGTTATTCATGAATGGAACTTCAAATCCGAATGGCAAGCCAGAGAGAATGCTAGAGGGCTAGCTTCTGAAATGGCGCAAGACGGACTTCTCACCAGTTTATCGGTGTTTCCGTCCGGCACAGTTCCCGCCAAACGGAAGAAGTCCTGCAAATTTGCGACCTTTGCATTCGACCAACCCGATGAGGTGAATTGCGTCAGCCCTGCAGTGAACGTTCCGGGCATTGTTCAATACAAACCTGATCCTGCAGCTGGCGCCCGAGTCCCAGATCCACCTGGGCCTCCACAAGAACATTCAAATCATCATGGGCATCACGCACATGGACGAACATTTCTTAATCGTCCATACTGGCAACAGCAAGTGTGGCAACGATTACAGGAAGAAGGCGTTGAGGACGATGCTGATGAAGGTCCAGTTTTCTTCATGAATTCATACTTCATCTGCCACGCCACCCATCGTCATCAACACACGGGAAAGAGAGATGAGGTTTATTTGGGAAGATTAGCTGACCCAGCGCTGCCGCTCTTGGTGTATTTGGTTACGCCAGAGCCACCCTTTTCCATCCAGCCTGGGACTGTTGGCACGCTACTTTTGATCCAAAATCCTCACCCATTTCGTGCGGCATGTCTTGTCACTGTTGTTGAACCTGCTCTACCTCGACTCCGTGTCACAGAGATTGCGCACTCCTTTGACATTGTGGTGCCTTTCCGACACATCCTATTTCATGCTGGTGTTGCAAGCCCTATGTGATGAACGCCGGGCACAACATCTTGGTGATTGTGAGATTCTTGTCGGTAGGAGAGCACTTCCTCATGGACAACCTGTTCGACTTTATGAAGGAATGGGCCTGACAATCGACATTCCCCCGCCTCTACTGCAACAAGAATGGAATCAACAAATTCTCAACCATTTTCAAGCCCAAGTCACCGACACATGGCAAGAAGAACACGATGATGCATCGCTCCTTGCGCACTCTGCCCGACCACCGGCAGTTGACGTACCAATCATGGACAACGATGACATTGCGCAAGACCCTGCAGAATTACCGCCTCATGAAGATTGTGGCAATCCCTCGTCCAATGTCTCCTCAACAAGCTCAATGTCAGAATGCTCGGAGATATGGCGAGACACATTGATCTTCACCTTTCAAGAGCTACCAGTTTTGCTGCAGCTTCCCTGGCATGATCGTCAAGAGATGCTCCGCCAAATGCAAGACGCACTAGCTTCTGATTATGATCGTATTGTCTTAATCCATCATGTTGGCAGTGCTCCTGAAGACATCCATCATGCTGAACAAGAATGCCTTGTCGTCGAGATGGCCTCATCTCCGCCCTGTTCGCCCATCATGCGATTGATTTTGGTTGACATCGAAGTATACCCTCCCAATGAACATCAGCCGCTGATTTTCGGGCGTAGACCCGTTTGGATGCCACAGATTGCCAATCAATAGACTGACCGTCTTTCGCCTTCTTGGCATTGAGGACCATTATCAAATCAATCCTTCACGAGGGCACCTCTGGTTGAACAACATTTGGATCTCCCATGACGATGCGCTGCCTCTGCACTTTCTTCATGGTGATTTCCTTGCAGCGGTCATTCAAGACGCACAAGCTTTTTTTCATTGAAGAAGGTGATGACACCTCATTATTTCAGGGACATTGTCGCGAAGACCCTGTTCCTGTCATTCACCATGCACGACATCATGTGCAAATTCAATCACACAGCAGCGAAGTTGTCTTTGGTGCATCATGTGCCTCAAGAGCCAGCACCGGCCTCTTCCATTACTACCACAAAGCACACTTCACGCAATGATGATTGGCTTTTACCAGTTGGCATGTCTTTGGTGCAACAAGCACGACAAGCTACTGCTGATGAGCATCCTGACGTTGAATGGAGGACGTGGCATCTTTGTGCTCATGTCCGAACCAGGAGCGAAGACTCGCGTCCTATACGCTTCGATGTCGAACAGCATATGTGGCTTCAAGACCTGCAACAACTGTGGCAAGATCAATGGATTCCCAACATTGCTGCCCGAATTATCATAGTTGAGCCAACACCACCAAAAGCTCCCTATGAACATCATGTTGGACATATCCTGATCATTCAAGGAGATCTTCCACACCATGCACCTGTTTTGGTCACCACTGTTTTTGCGTCCGCAATTGGACGCCGCCATTCTCATTTGGCTTGCTTTCTTCCACAGTTCTTTGAACCAATGCGATTGCTCCAAATGCTCCGCCTGGACCGCATTTGTCAACATCAAGGTTGCCATGTTAGCTTACATGGGCATCAAATACCTCTTCAGGGCCTCGGACAGGTGGCAGATGGTGACCATATTCAAGTCCATGTTCCAGCTCGTGATGTACTTGGCACATCTTTGGTCCAAACTCAGGTTCAACGACGACATGAAATTGCGATGCGTGCTGACCATCGTACGGATCCATGCAGTGCGTCATGCCAAGACGCACTTGAGCTTCCACAAGTACATGGTGATACTGAACAGTTTGTGTTCGATCCTGAGACTCCTGCCTTGGTACCTGGGCGAATTACCATGACTGGACAATCTGAATTCAGTCAGGACCTTTACAATCAATGGTACCAATCAGCATTCACTTGGGAAGGTACATACCATCATGCGTAGTGCTTACTTGGATGGTAGATCAGACCTGGGCACAACCTCATGGTACTCTCCCTCGTCCAGTACGACTACATGATGATTACAATGCTTGGGAAACACGTATTCTTCAAGCTTGGCAAGATCTTCGTGACCAAGATGCTCCGTATGAGTTTTATCTTGCTCACCCAACACCGCCTACCACAGACAATACTGTGGTCGCTCATGTGGTGCTTGTTCAACGACCGCGAGATGACTGGATCACCAGTGTCG